TACTATAGAATAAAAGAACTTGAAGATGAAAGCAAGTATTGCTTTCAAAAAGCTGACAAAAATGCAATTGATTATGAAAAGAAGAAAACAATTTTATATCAGAAAAATAATGACTAGATATTGTTTATTGCTTCTTTGAAATGGACAAAAGCAGTATAAAACAATGAATGAGTTGGGGGATATGTTTTGTAAAATCAGTAAATAAATCAATCACTATTTTTTCTGTGAAGATGTATACTTATTGTATAATGAAGGCTTGACTTTTGATAAACAACTATACATAATAACAAAATTGGATAAATTTAAAAAATAAACATGCCCTCTGGGCAAAGGTGCATTGTTATGTGCCATATGGAGAGTAATGAATTAAAGATATATTCAACCATTTTGTTTAGGTAAGGAGGTCAGGATCTGTTTTAAGTGCTTTAGATATGTTATCTCTTATGGTCAACACAATAGCAGCATGAAATAGGTAATGTTATTTCCATGTCAAAATAAGGATATTTTTTGATGTTATACTTTTAAAATAACTTGGTAATTAAAACATTCCTAAAAGGTAGTTTTCTAAGACTAGGAAAAAAAGGCAAACCACAGAGGATTACTTATTTGTTAACTTCTACCCCTTCTCAAAAGTAATTTGAAACAACACACAAAATATAGGTTAAAAAGGCTGATAAGTTGCAGTCGTATTTCAGAACCATGAGAATAAAATGTAACCAGATAAATCATAGTAAGTTCCTATAACAGAAAGAAAGGTATTTAGCAATGAGTTCCTCAGGGGAGATATTTTTTTTTTCCTTAGAACCAAATTCTAAAAGAATGTCTCATATGAGGATTTATATAGGGCACATTAAATAATGTAATAGACGGTGTCAGAGTAAATGAAGGAGCAAATTTCCTATGCTTCTCTCTTGTTGCGACCTCCATAAAAACGGAGAACATCCCATTACACTGCAGCACAGGGAGGGCGTCTGGAAAGGGCAAAGCTGATGGTCAAGTACATTGCTTTTCAGCCATAGAACCCGACTCAAAGACACAACTTAAAGCCTGCTGAGGAGTTGATGTCAATTATTTCCCGAATACGGTGCTTCCTAATAGATGCTTCCTTCAAATGGGCATTTTTAAAAGCCTAGACTAGGGCGATTTGGGGTTATAGTCTTGGGCGAAAGCCTGGTAAGCTCCTCGGTCTGGATTTAAGGGTAGACCTGCACGCTGGAGATACCACAAGCAGCTTTATCAGTATTTTAACCCTGCGAGTACCCTCCTCTCATGGGACCCTGAACACAGGTGAACCAGTTTTCCAGGATTTTTCTCACGTGGTCGCTTTAGATTCACTCCTGGAGAGATACTTAGTGCAAGACTAGAAACCAATGCTTATAAGCACCAGCAATACAATTTTAGTTCAACAAAATGCTTCATTCTCAGAATTTCTTTGCATTTGAAAACATAAAGGCTAACTAAAACATTTATAGTAATGAGAATCAGTCCTTTCCTAGAGATTATTTGGAGGATTATGGTTAGGGTTAAAAAAAAGAATTAGGATCACCTCCAGGGGTTGAGTAGAAATTAAGGTTATTTTAAAGTCATCTTCCAGTTTATTTCTATTCCTATTTTTATGTCCAAGATTTTATATCCTATTTTGACTAAGCCATATCGTTTTCAACCCTATATTGAGAGTTCACTAGCATGTGGAAGTTTATAAATTCAGGCAAAAGGAGATTGGAATTTAAATAATTTAGAATGGTGACATTACCCTGTGACCTCATTTTCTACCTTCTTGAGTAGAAAACAGACATTTCAACTCAACTGCAAGAATTTTTCAGGCTGAGAAAGATGTGGACAGCAAAACAATAGACTCTTTGAAATCCACAAAGCAATAAAAGACTCCTGCCACAGGCTTAGCTACGCCCTAGCCAAGCCTCAAACAGGCAAAGTCACTTTCGGGAAACGTACAAAAAGAGGTGACTGAAGGCATGGCAGTAGCCCCAGCACCACTGAACAAGTTTGCCTTCTGCCACAAGACTCAATTTTGTAATATCTGATACTTCCAAAACAGCCGTATCCGCTTCCTTCAGCGAAATCTTCCAAATACTCAGAAAGTCCTTTCTTCTGCTTGTCTTTAAAGTAAATGAAGTCAAGATAAGCTGGTTTGCCTACTATGTGCTGCTTGATTTTTTCTTTTTAACCAAGGCAGGTAACTGCTAAGCTGAACAATCAAGACCCTTACGACTCAATCAGAAAATAACTTTATTCTGGGGCGCCTGGGTGGCTCAGTTGGTTAAGCGACTGCCTTCGGCTCAGGTCATGATCCTGGAGTCCCGGGATCGAGTCCCGCATCGG